GAGGGCGGGTCGGGTCGACCCCCGCCGATGGCCGCTCCAACGGCGGCGACGGAACCGACCCCCCCAGGGGGGTTTTTCCTTTCCGCCTTCCTCTCCCGCGCCCTCTCCTCCGGCTTTCCCCTTTCCCCTCCCCCCTCGCCGGGCGAGCTCGTCGGTGAGCTGGAGAATCCGCCGTCGGGCGGCGTCGAGGTCGTGCGCGCGCTGCTCCGCCTCCATCGCCTTATCCCGCAGCAGCTCCACCTCATCTCGGAGCGAGACGTACGCTTTTTTCACCAACCCCAGCTCCGAGGTCCGGCGGGAGAGGGCCTCTTCGAGGGTTGAGATCCGTCCTTCCGCCGCTTCCGCGCGTTCCCGCCACGTGTTGAGCTCCGCCATCCCACGGTAGTACTCGTTTTCCTGCGCCATGTACGCCTCGACCTTCGCTTGCAGGCGATCCGTCTTTTGCGCGAGCTCTACCTCGCGGGCGGTGCGCGCGGAGCTGTCGGCGACGATCCCCTCCAACTCCCGCACCCGCCCCTGAAGCTTCTCGTTCGACTCCAGAAGCGCCTCCCGCTCGAGCTCGACGCACTGCAGCCGACGAACGCGTTCATAAAGAGCCGCGTAGCTGCGGAAAAGGCTCTGGCTCGGCCCTAGCTCGGCCTCATTGCGATCGAGCACGAGTTGATTGAGCGAGCGTTGCCAAGCGGCATCGACCGCGGGTTTTTTAAGCGATTGGGAGGGGCCCACATCGGTAACGACTGCCTGTTCGCACATAATTTGTCGTCCCTTCGCGAAGGCCCTTCAGGAAGAGAACACTCTTCGGAAATCAAATTGGTTGGTCTGAACGCGTTTTTGGCGCTCTATTTCCTAAGGATAGATTGAAATGGGGGAAAAAATAAAACAAGTTTAACGCGAAGCATAGCATTGGAAAGAGAGGGCTAAAGATACGTAAAAACAAACGAATATACTGGAGGCTGTCACTTCTTCATTAAACAATTCATGTTAGCTTCAAATATTCCACTTATTGATTTTTCCTAAAAATATACTTATCATGATTATTATTGAGTTACTCAAAAAAATATCGACTGAGTTTTTAAAAATAAAGTGTTGATATAGTTATCATTTTCAAGCAAGTTATAGTTATATATTTTTTTATCACTCATCTTTTTCTTGTGTTTGAAGACCTGAATCAGACCCTTTTGATTACTACCTCTTCTACTTTTCTATTTTTCTATGAGTATTGTTTCGCGTCTCTTTCATAGAAGTACTATTAGTAATTCGGTTCGATCTGATTTCGTTACTTTCCTGGTCTACACCCGATCGCGGTGATGGATGTAGGCTATTTAAATTCACCGTTACGGATGATTTATCCACCGATTTGGACCTCACATGGGGATCCTCGTGTGTGTGTTTATTATCATGGTGCTCATCTCGGCATCGCGTGACCTTCCCTTGGGTTCGCAACCGTCGTTCGCGCTTCGGAATGACCGGAGGGGAGACCCGCGGGGAGGCCTCCGACGCGCTCTCCACCGCCCCCAACACCCCAAGCGTGAAATCCTCCGCGAGATTGACGGGAGGGTCGTCGGGTTGCCCAAACACCGACGGCGTTGGTTGGCCGCCCGGCAGGAAGGAAGGGAGGAGGGGCTCCGGTGAGATCCCAGTCGCGCTGGAGAGGAGCGGGGAGGCGTGATGCGTTGGATGCCGACGAATCGCCCACCCCACGAAGGAGGGGGAAGGAGGGGCCGCCAGCCCATGCCGCCCATCCGGCGTGTACGGCTCCCCGACCCCAAAAGGGCAGGGGATGTGGCCTCTTAGACTCCCCCCAGCCCCATGGCTTGGCGTGCCGATGTCGGTGGTATGACGACGGGGAAGGTTGAGGCTGTGCGAGCGGGGGGGGGTTGGGAAGGACGACCCCCTCGTGGCGTGCGATGCCGGGATGCCAACGGATGCAGGAGCCCGGCCTGGAAATTCACCCTCGTCGTCGTCGGTTGGCCTTGGGGTTTGATCTGCAGAGCCAGGGTGGGGGAATGCGCCACCGTGGTGGGACTCCCGGAAAGGAGATTCAGCCTGTTTGTCTGGACATTAGAGTGGGGGGAGTAGATATGAGATGGATGATGGATGGGACCGCCGTCGGTATGGACGCCCTCAAGGCACCCTAACGTGTTTGGATTGAGATGGTGTTTATTCCGAAGCTCTCGTGGGGTGAAAGCTAGGTTGGTTGCGTTCACGCCATGAGCGTGGTTGTGCTCCTGTTTTCCTTTCCTATGCATCGTATGATCGTAGCTTGGAGGAAGCCATATTGTGGAATCTTCTCGTGGAGCATAGGAATCATTTTGATGGGGTTTTGTGGTCGTATGATTAAGGTCTCCTGATAGCTCATGGAGCTTCAGGGCCTGCCGCTGAAGCCGGAGATGTCTTCGGTGCGCTTGGTTGCGGATGTAGTTCACGTGGGAGCGCAACACGGGGGAGTATGATGGATAGGACTGCGACCCACCTCCTTTTTTGTCATCATTGATAGAATTACCGATGCTCCCTGATGAATTTCGGAATGCATCGTTTGGAAGGGGTCGTGAAGAGTAATTCGCGTATATGGCCGTCCCGTCGGGGAGCACCACGTGAGCACGGTGCAGGCGATTCGGTACCCCGGAGCTATGCGCAACGCCCTCCGCATCCTGCCCTGATTGATATGAATCCGATTGAAGATGGGTTCGAAGCTCGTGCTTTTTGGCCGTTTCCAATGAGCGCGACGGAAGAGGGTGGGGCGATAGAGTCCATGACTTATGTGGCGTGGTCATGAAGCCCGAGGATAACGGGTGTATTGGGGTGGAGAGGCGGGTTTGGGGGATGGCCGCGGGAGAATGAGTGAGTCGGTGGATGGGGGCACCTTTTTTTTTACCGTTTCCAGAGGCGATTGAGGGGCTTCGGGGGCTCCCCATGATGGATGCCGCCACGACATGTGGAGTTCCCATCGGAGAGGGAGAGGGCTCAGAAGCGGCGGATACCCCGATGATCGTACCAACACACGAAGCCACCTCCCTTTTGGTGGTGTCTTCCTCGTCTTTCGGCCCGGGCGCCGCCGTGGGTGGGAGATCGGCCCCAATGGCCCGGCTTTTCTTAACTTCAGGAGCAATATGGGGAGGATTCGACCCCATGGCTTCTTGCGGGGTCGACCTCAGCTCCTGCGAGGTTGGAGGCGACGGCAAGCATGGCAAGGGACACTCGGTCTGAGAGAGATGAGCTACGGAGTGTGTATCCAAGAGGTTGTTTCCGCCGCGGTCGGAAGGGCTGTCATTCTGGATCGGGGCGACGGCTCCTTTTACGGACTGCCGCCAAAGATCCAGCGCGGCGAGGTCATGATCGCCGGAGATGAAGGGATGCCGTAGGAGCTCCGCCGCGGTGGGCCGTTGAGCCGGGTTCATTGTGAACATCGCCTTCATAAAGTCAATGAAGGTGGGTGACGGCGTCTTGATCGCACTGCTCACGTCGGGAACCTCATGTTCCCTTGAAACAGATTCCTCGCTGCTACATGGATCTGCTATAATGGAGAAGGAGATGGGCTTCTGCGTAACCACATTCGGTCTCGTTTGTTTATGACTTTTGCGGTTCTTATGCTCATGGTGGGGGTTCATGAAGGCCCTTGCATTATAGATATCGATTAAGGATGGTGCACAATTATACTGGGCACCAATGTGGAAAATAACTGCGATGGGATCGCAATGATGCACTTCACGCCAGGGCAGGATGCCACCCGTTGCCATCTCAAATACGACACACCCTAAAGCCCAAATATCTGAGGCGTGTGTTAACACCTGGGTTCGTATCAGCTCTGGGCTCATGTACAACGGCGTCCCACAAAGCATGGTCACCTCGTTCGATGGGATACAATCACAAGGGATTTGAGCGTCCGGAAAAATTTTTCCGTGGGAATGCGCTCGCTCCTTTGCGACGCATTTACGGGTGATGTGGCTCGTGCCGAAGTCCGCCAACTTCACGTTGCCCCGCTCCGAGATGAGTATGTTGGCGCTTTTCAGGTCCCCATGTACCACGTTGCAGCTTGCTAAATACTCCAGCCCTTCGAGGATTTGAACGGTGTACAGCCGAATCACGTTCTCCTCGAAGGCACCAAAACACTTGATAAGCGACTTAAGCATGCCACCAGCAACATACTCCATGATGATACAAAACCCCCTTTTTGGGTCGTACTGAAAACCAAGACACTGCACGATCCGTTGATGCCGTAGCGCGCTGAGTGCACAGAGCTCACGAATATGGGAGCGTTTCATACCAAGGAGGTAGCCTAAAGAGTGGTGCTCTTCCTCACGATCAAGAAGTTGGTGGTCTTTCGAACGGCAGCGGGTAGGGTCTGCCGATGGGTTCACTGATAGTGGCTCTGGGACCTCAGCATCGCAGAGCTCTTTTTGATCCTTCACTTCCTTCTCAGAAGATGTAGGCATCATCTGGGAAGTCGAGCGCGCATGCGTTGCCGAGAGTTTTGTCGCTACCACCGGCGACCTGTTTTCGTCACTCCCGAATTTTTTTTCTTCGTTCCTAAGCCTTACTTTTTGTGATTCTTGTCTTTCAAACATTCTTTCCTCTTTTCGAGTGGTTGCGGGGCTCATGGTCCCGGTAGCCCCGTCCAGGCTCGTACTAATGGAGGTGAGAGCTACGAACTCCTCCTGTTGGGCTTCTTTTGTCATTTCCCCACTTCGCTGAGCCTCGCTGGGACTCTTTTTGGAGTCGGAGGAAGAGCAGTTCGCAACTAATTCCTTATGCTCGTCCTCTTCCCCCCCCCCATTTCCGTGGCCATCACCTGGCTCGACGTGCTTAAAATCCTTGGCCATGCCATCGGCTTGAAAGTCGCCACAGGTTAAATCCGTGTAAGAAGACGAAGTAGAGGAGATGCGGCTCGGGTACGCTGGCGTCCCGTGTGGGGTGGTGGAGGATTGCTTCAGAACTTTGATAGCCAACGTCATCCCGGAGAGGACATCAATCCCCATGTAGACGTTACTGTTGGCGCCTGAGCCGATACGGTTCCCCCATTGGATCTTTCTTGACGGCATGACGACGTAGCTCGGGGTGCCGCACTCCGTGCTGTCGTCGAGGGGAAGGGTGGTGCCCTCCATGAGGTTCGCCGAACGAGAAGCGGCATCCACCACGGCGCGCTGCATCACGCTGCTCGTGGGCGACGAGACCGGGTGGGTTTGGTTGAACAGGCGAGGCAAATCCGATGGGGTGGTTGCCGGCATAAAGAAGTTCCCCACCGGGCCCTCGTCGCCCTCGGTTCCGCGCCAGGACGGCTCCTCCGTCGGCCGGGTTGCGTGTGTGGAGGGACGGGACCCAATGCCCTCGCCGTGTCGCGTTTCCCCGGCCTCCCTTGCGCTTCGAGGGATCCCCGCCAAGTCCTTCTCTAGGACGGGTGAGACGCCTCTCAAAGACAGAGGGGGCTCAACCAGGGACATCTTCGGGGTGGGATATGGGTGGAAGAAGAAGTGCTCGAGGTAGCTTGAGGTGCTGATGACGTCCCAGAACTGCGGCGCGGACGGGTTTCTGGACTCCCGTGCGGAGTTCAGGGGCTTCCCGGGGGCCCCCTCGTCCCCCACGCCTCCATCGTGCTCCCTATAGGATGGGCGCTCGAGGTGGGCCATGCCTGCTTCCTCCTCGTGCCAGTCCTCACTGTCCTCCTCGGTGTTCCGGTTGCGCTTTTCGTGAAGCCGAACAATCGCGATGTCGAAACCTGTTTGGAGTTCAATTCGACGCCCTTTACCGACACGGATATCGTTCACAAAGGTTCCGTTCGTGCTGTGGTCGGTTAGAAAAACTCGAAATCTGACCTTTGTAGCTGCCGTGTTGTTCATTTTACACACCAGTTGCGTGACATCATTTTCGGTTTCCACCTTGTTGAAGATGTTGGCTGAACTATTCGGTCCCCCATTCCAGACATGCACACGAAGGCTGTTGTTTTCATTGTTGCAGCCATGAGATTCGACAGAAACTCCTGGTGCCGGAAGGAAATCGGTACTACCACCACCGTGTGCACATTGATCGCCAGTAATCGCTGCTGAGATCTCTGAGCTAGAGCGCAGTTTTTTTTCCCTGCGTACGAAGGAAGGCACTGATATTTCCGGAATAGATGGGGTAATTACTTCTCCTATTGCATTTTTCTCGTGTGAGGAGGCGGAGATATCTACTTCAGCTTCCACCGACACGGAGAAGTGGAGCTGACTAACGCGCAGATCATCAAGAACGATATCACAGCTACGGTCGCGACCGACCGTTACGGTAGTCTTATGGAAGGTACACTTGAGACTCTCACTCTCCGAGAGGAGGAGCCCCCAAGAGTCGCTAAGGTGACAACCGCCCGCGGAGGCTAGACTTTCATTGAACTCACAATGCGTAGGTTGTGTGCCCTCTACTTGCGTACTCACCTGCCTTGGAGTACTAAACATGCCGCTTGGATATTGCTGTAATTTATGTTCAAACTCATCCATCTCCCACTCGGGAGAAGGGGTTTGCTGATTCATGTCACGACTGTGATGCTCGACTTGGGATCTGTCAAAGGGTGCGGCTTGAACTTGTAAAGGGGGATCCAAAGGACCTGAGCTTTCGCTCATCCAGAAATAAAGTAGAAAAGATGTGGGAAAGTAAAGAAAGTATGGGAAAGAGTCGATATATTTTTTATTTTTCGTCTCAATCAATATGAGAAGCTTTGTTTCCTCCTAAATTTCCTTGGTGGGGAAAAATTTATGTATAGCTATGCATACATATACTTATATATTAGTAACGATGGTTCTAATATCGAAATCAAATATTCAGAATAGAGAATGGGTCTCTCGACTATAAATTCTGTGATACCTAGACTACCGTTATTTATGTGTAAATATGTACCTTTTTCAGAGGAAAAAAATGAAACTAAGAGAGATAGAGGTAGCCATCATTGTGTACGTCGAAAGAAAAACTTAAGCGTTATAAGGATACGCATACATATCCTTGAATCGTGTGCCACATGCATCATTTTGAGATATGGGCATCGCAAAGCAGCCAAAGGAATCAAGCTGATACAGATACACGGAGAAAAGCTTTTTACTCAACATTCATATCATATTATCAATTCTTTACGCAGTACTGAACACCGGAATGAGGTTTGTAGGAAAATGTGTTGAAGGTCTGCCATTCATTTTGTGGTTTCTACTCTTCCCGAATGTCCATGACACAATTCAATCCTCTATCACTTCAGCCCTGCGGTTACGCTTTTCGGAATGGGTTGTAGGCAGGTTCTTGGGCAAAATGGGGATCTTCGGCATCTTGAGCGGCCACGGGCTCAACTAACAACGGTAACAAACCTCGCCTTTCCCATTCTTCTCGCCGAAACTCCTCATCTTCATGGTACCTCATATGTAGTTCCGGGTTATTGCTCAAGTCAATGATCAGCTGTTGGCGCGCGAGAGCCTTGCGCTGCAGCGCAACGTACGCCTCCCAGGCTTCTCCTTCCACACCTGTGATAGGGGCGGCCTCACGTATAGTTCTGTGCTGTTCATCCAGCTTATCCGTGCAGAGACGAACGAGATCCTCAATCTTATGCGTACTAACGAATGGAAAGAGTTCAGAGGCATCCTCATCATCTGTAGATTGCTCATTATCACTATTAGAATTGATGTAGTCTGTCGGACGGCGAACAGGGGGGTACTCCGCTTGCCTAGATCTAAGTTGCGGGATATCAAACCCGAATCCTGGTTCATAGCCCATGACTGGCGGGGAGAGCGCGGGTGAGCGAAACAACCCCGGAGGTTGCTCGGTGTTTAACAGCACGGCTTCTTCAAGGCAATTCTCCAACCCAAGTTCACGTACTACCTCAAGTGCCTCCGACATACGAGAAATAAGTTTGGAGAGCCGCTCGTCAAACGCGGCTTCGTTAACCATTCGAAAGCGGTCGTACGCATCTGCCATACCGCGCTCCTGGTCAACATCCGATTGACGCTTTCTACTGTCGTTAAGGTGATTTTTTTCGTATATGTACTCCATTGCAGCTTGAGCCCATTTCTCGTCTCCACCAACCTTCCCTGAACTCGCCATGTAGCTAGCAACGTTTTGTTTCTGGAGGAGAAAGGAGCTCGGCGAGGCAATCGCTGCCCCACCTTTGATATGCTTCATGATAATAGTATTGCGTAAGAACATGCTTTTTCTTTTTAGTAAAATAAAAATATTTTCAATGGAGGCAATTCTGTACAGATATGGTGCTACTTTGAATACATTTAAACATGTCCAATTCCATCGAAAGACATCGTAATCATATAAATATTTATTGTTCTATCGGTATATGATAGAGCTCATATGTACAGAATACACATGCGCAGCCACGCACACACTAGTCATGAAGTCCAAAGACAACATATTATTATTGCCCATTGTTAACTTTTGAGTATGAGCTTAGCATTATTAAGAATAATTTCGCTTTTAACAATGGTGATACATTCGATATCATACTTTTCAAGAATCCCAATATTCGCCAACCTTTCTCTACATTAATAAAGACAAAGAGAATTTTATCCCCTTTCCACATGTATAGATGTATATTTGTCTTTAATAAGATAAAGAAAGCACCACCGCGAATTTATAACGTTTTCCAAAAAATAATAATAGTCATTTGGACTCCCTATCTTTCCGTCATTAATATTAATATTACTAATTTTCTTGGAAGCATAACATTATGTAATTGCTTTTTGACGCTCGCATAGCAATTATTTTGCACTGTGTAGCTAACAACGAACCCCATTCCCATCGCGATTTTTTGAAAATTTTCGCTAGTCTCCCACAGCATACCCAATAGGTATTGCTCATCTTTTCCCTTTGATTACGGATAAAGTAAAAGATTTAAACTGAAATTCAAAGAAGCTACCCTAAAATACGAAAAGATGAAACAAAATAAGTTCGAAATACTACACTTTCCCGATTTCATAGCAAGTGAAAGACAACATTGGCGCTCAGGAAAGAGGATAAATTAAATAAGTAATATTAATTGGAAGCCTATGTTTTATTTTGGTCTCTATTTCTATAGGCTCCAAAAGAGAGAATGCGATAAACGTCAAGAATAGAATCGAGGCAAAAATCGGAAAAGGTACAGTACTGCATCAGTCATTCCAGAGGGATAGTGTATAAATTCCTGGTGAGAAACACCAGGTAACGGTAATGTCAACGAATGGGGGAAGAAGTGCTTAAAGAAACACAAAAGCACACGCAAAAGGCTTCTTCGAAATGTAAAGGTATAGGAAACCAGACTCCTCCCCAGTGTTTGCTTAATCTATTTATAGATATAAGCGCAAGGATCGAAATTGATTCTTATCTTACCCTCTTCAAACTCTACAGAAATCGTTCCCAATGGCAGGTTGAATAGTAAATGCTATCAAAAGCGAATTAATCAACCAAAGGAGAGAGATGAAAGAAATGAATAATAAATTGCTGTGAACAACTAGACAACAGAAGTATACCTTCTGAATTGCTATTTTTTAAAGCCAAGGTGGCCCTCAAAATTACACACACAAAAAATTAGTTCAACCATTGAAATAGAAAACGCTTAATCTTACTTCATTATCAGTATTTATGCATGGTTGCAGATTCACATGAAGGTACAAGTTGAATCTGCATTTGCTGTATATGTTTTCAACTGAATTTGACAAATGAACATTTTTGTAGCGCTCAGTTTTAAAAGAAAAAAATGAATGAAAACAGAAAACAGAAAGCGAAAAGTGAACCACTACCATAAAAGTTAATAGAGATAACTTGTTTGGCTTTGGTCCTTTTTTCGATGCAAACTGAGGGGAAATAAGAATATATGTGGAAGTTAGGGTAGAGGAAGAATAGATGGTAAATGAAACCATGAGCTGTATTTTTTGAAAAAGGTACATATGTATTTTGTTTTTCTTACTTTTCCTTGCATATTTGTATAGTATATTATTCCCCCCACTCGTTTGCTTCGTTGTGTTGCGATAATCATTCCTTTTCTTCTTCTGTCGTTCGTTCATTAAACGTCTGAAGCGCAGATCGATCTTTTCCATGCGCCTCGACGCTAGGACCGTTCGTGCGTGAAGTACTACTGACGCTTCTCCCCCTTTTACCCATTTCAGTCGAGGAATCCGCACGAAAATACGATTCCATCAATAAAATCTCCTCCTTCACATCATCTAGCGTTGCATCCACTTTGTCATCAAAAACGAATGGCGCGCACGTAGCTTCGTCATCTTGATCATAAATAGATTCTAGAAATGGATGTCGCATACATTCGGTGACAGATAACCGCTCCTTTGGATTGAAAACAAGGATTCGTTTTAGCAAATCCAACGCCTCCGCAGACGCGTTAGGGTATTTCTCTCGCCAGTCTATTGGTGCTCGATGAGTCCTTCTGCGAAGATACGCACGCGCCGCGGCGGAGCCCATACAGAAATCATTCTCGGATGGGGTTCCAATAACGTCAATGATCTTATCCAACTGATTTACGCGGTCCTTCCCCTGGAAAAGAGGACGAGAGCCGAGGAGTTCGCCGAGAATGCACCCCACACCCCACACATCAATCTTCGTGGAGTAGTCCACGTCCTCCATGACCAACTCTGGGGCGCGATACCAACGCATGGTCACGTAATCCGTCATAAACTCACCACGATCGTTCTCCTCCTTTGCCAGGCCAAAGTCGCAGATCTTGAGATCACAATTGGTGTTCACAAGGAGATTGGCCGGGGTTACGTCGCGGTGAATCACGCCTGCGCTGTGGATGACGTGGAGGGCGCGCAGGGTTTGGTAGATGAAGAATTGGGTGTGAGCCTCGGAGAGGACCTGACCGCTACGCAGTACCTGCTTCAGGTCCGTATCCATAATGTCCATGACAATGTAAATGCGTTTGAACTCTTTTACCGTTCGAGGGACGAGGATCTTACGTAGTCCGATAATGTTTTGGTCGTGAAAATGAGCTAAGAGTTTGATCTCACGCAGAATGCGCTTGGCAAGAGTGACTTCCTCAAAAATATCCTCGTTGACGCGTTTTATGGCAACGAATTTGTTATCATCTTTAGTATCTCGAGCACGAATGACCACACCGTAGCTCCCTGCGCCAATCACTTTATCAAGAACGTAACGATCATCGAGCTTAGATATTTCTTCTTGAATTTCGTCTAAAGCTGCTGATGAGACTTTCATGGAGGCTACAGATTACTGATTAAACGTGCTCTCGATATAAATATATATATATATATATATATATATATATGTATATATTTATATATATATGTATATATATATATATATATACAATGTGTAGATATATGTGTATGAATATATGGCACCTTGCTTGTAATAGCTAATATATCGGAATTTTCTTAAGTCAAAAAAATATATGATTACCGTAACAAGGACAATAAGAAGCGCAGCACGATGACTGCTCACAATGTGATCCTTTTCACTCCCTCCCTGGCGGCAGTAAGGATAAAATACACAACAAAATGGGGCTGCTTATATTCTATTGAATCACAACCAACTAAAAAAGTAAACAGATTACTATCAACTAGAGATGCCTTACCTATATTGTGTATTTGAATATGAGTATACTTTTTAATGTATATATATATATGTATATATATGTATATATATATATATATATATATATATACAAGGTAAGGACAACGATACTAAGAAATTACCAAGAAAACACAATAGTTTCCAATGACGAATGCTTAATGTAAAGATAACCCAATAGCGGAAACGATGTGAAAAAACAAGAAGAGGAAAATGATTGCAGGCCTGATTAAGGAAAAAACATTGGATTGGCATAATCACGTGCATTACTTAGGAATTTTTTTCAATCGACAGTTCCTTTTTATGTGTGTGTGTGATAAATAAAGATTGTTAGTGAATATTTCGTGTGCCTGTAGTGGTAGAAATGTTTTGCCAAACTTAACCGAAAGTATATCAATCAAGCATTACAGTATATAGGGGATCTCGGATGTGAGGTATGACGAAAGATAACTCCACGTGAGGAACTTCAAAACAGTAGTCAACACGAAAATATAAGGATACCTACGTACTTACCAAGTACATGCCTTTCTTTTTTCGTTCTGAAGGACAATATAGCAGTGAAACTAAACGAATTCAATGAATTTTATTGAATTCTATCTTTCCTATCGTTTTTCTGTTTTTCTTTCTAATGCGCTCAATAGTCTAATATGGAAGGTGTAGGGGGCTGATAAATAGAAAGTGGTATTCATTTTTCATTGAAGGGTAATCTCAACCGGATTCCGTTGCGCTTTCCCGTCTGATACGCGTTCCATCTCAGCGCCCACCTCGAGTTAGTCGGCGTCGGAGCTGCTTGAGGCATCCAGTGGGGCGCGCCGCCGCCGCCGCGTGACGTTGCCCTCCGTCTCCCCCACCCTCGGTAAGGACGTCTGTGGGGTTTGCCGCCCACTTCGATTCTTGGGCCACACCGAGGGGCCCTCGGGGGCCGCGGCCTCCGCTTTCCCACCCACGCTCGAGGTCGTCCCAGGAGCCGAGGGGGGTCGAGGCGGGGACCCCCCTGGGCCCGTCACGGCCGCGAATCGCTGAAGGAGGGGCATGTCGTCCTGCGTCGGGGTCGGCGCCTTCGGCGGGTTTGCCGCCGCACCCGAGGCGGGGGG